AGTACAGATCTGTGATTCAACAGTCTTGCTCATTTTTTAATTTGAAAGCTGGGAATAAAATCTGGACTGGAACCCAAAACTAATTTGATTCTTTTCTAATGTCAGTAGTCTCTCCTCGTCAGAAAGATTCTGTTTATCAATATATCAGGGTAATTGATAACCCCTAATATCTTTTTGTTTCATGAGAAAGTTTAACAGCTTCCAGTCCTTAAGGCTCCAGGCCTCAAGTTTTTCATATGGAGGATTAAAAGCTGCCTTGCCCTCACTCCTTATGCCTTTTTATCATCTTAAAACAAAACAAAAAAGTTTTATGTTTAGAAAAAATTCAAAATTTATTTTGTGAATGCTCTAGAAACTGGAGGTTGTTTTAAAACAATATGGCTATAAAACTAAATTTGTCTTTTACTAAACTCACAGAGCAAGAAATTAGAAGGACTTTGATCTGGAAGTAGCCAAAAGGAGAACTCTTGATAGAATATTTTATAAGTGTAAGGGTTTTTTACCCTTCTTTTTTGGGGGGGATTTCTCCACTGACAACAGAAAATTAGAGTCAATGCTGAAGTAAGCTTTTTGAGCAGCTTAGTGTTCAGTGGACTTCTGATTGAAGAATTCTGTGTGTCAATAGTAGAAACAAATTGAAGTGGTTGCCTGGCTCATGATGATTGTATCAATAGCCATGTCTATGCTAGTCTCCCATCTTTTGGTAAATAGACCTTCCAAAAGTGGAAGTTGCCAATCATTCCTTTCCCTTTTCCTGGCCTGCCTACAGTGATTAATTCCAGAGATAAGCACATAACCTAAGCTGGGCCAATCAGAATCTATTAACCAAATTTTAAAATTGTGATTAGAGAAGACTGCTTTTCCTTTCCTGGTGCTTTACTACAAAGTAGAAAATAAGCCACATAGGTGAGAATAGAGATAATAAAAGTAATAGAGATAGAATAGAGATAATAAAAAAAAGACAGAAATAAGGAGATTCCTGACAGCATCAAACCCAAGCTTTCCCAAGGTCAGCTCTACTTGGGTCCTAGCTGTGTGTATCCTGTTTCCCCCACCCCCTGCCTTTTTGCTTAAATTAGCCATAGTTGAGCTTTTAGCACAACCAAAGTGACTAAATGCATTATCATAAATGCCTAATTTTATGCCATATACCTACTTCATTCTTACCCATTTTTAACATTTCCCCCTTGCAAACTTTCATTTATCAGAGTGAATAATCCTATCCTTTGGGAATTTCTAAATTTTAGTAAAACTTAATACATTTGGATACAATTTGTAATTTATTTATTTATTGTTTTAGAGTGAGAGAGAGCACACGAGGGAGGGGGGCAGGCAGAGGGAGAGAGTCTTTAGCAGGCTCCATGCCCAGTGTGGAGCTGACACAGGGCTCCATCTCACAATCATGAGATCATGACCTGAGCCAAAATCAAGAGTCCTGATGCTTAACCAACTGAGCCACCCAGGCACCCCATAATTTGTGATTAATTTAGATAGTCTGCCTCTTTTTTGCAAAAGGTGGAAAAAATTTTTAATGAACAAGATATGATGTATTTGAATTATTCTGTGGATTTATTTACATGTAAATATGTATTGTATTCCTTGATAGTTTAATGAGAAGAATAATAATGAAAATGAGATTACAGATTTGACTTTATATCATTGTGTCTGTGCCTTTCTAGACTCGAATCGTAATAAGCTGGCTTTACAGACACATAACAGGCTTTACAAGTAGGATAAGTAAGTAGTTTGATACTGCAACGTATGCACCATACATATCTATGTTTGGTTGGAGAGGGGTCCAAAGGGGAAAAATTGTTCTTAGTCCACCTTTCTGGTCAAATCTATTCCCTAAATTCCTCTCATTTCTGTTTCACTCAATACAAATTTAGGTATATGCTCATTGAGGTAAGTATTTCAAAAAATTTCCCTAAGCATTGGTTTGCTAACCAGTTCGGATTATATGGATCTATCAGACAATATGAGATAAGGGCTCTAGACTACTGCAGTAATGTGGAAAGTTTATATACAAAAAAGTAGAAAGAGGCACCTGGGTGGCTCAGTCAGTTAAGCATTCGACTCTTGATTTTAGCTCAGGTCATAATCTCTCAGGGTTGTGAGATCAAGCTCCACATTGGGTTCTGTGCTGGGCATGGAGCCTACTTAAGATTTTCTTTACCTCTCCCTCTGCCCCTCTCCCTCCAAAAATAAATAGAAAAAAGTAGAAAATTGATGTATTGGATCACAAAATGGAATCTACCAAATACATGCATGTGTACGTTTTTCTGAAGAGGGTGTATAGCTTTTGTCAGATTCTCTAAGCTTAGAGTTTGTAACTCCAGAAGTTAGGAATCCAGTATCATTTCCTGCTCTTTTCTTCAGAAGCAAAAAAAACCACAAAAAACGAATATCCCTGAATTCAGTACTCAAGAATACTATTCCAAGAATATTAACATTCAAATCCTTTAGCATTGTATTACCTGTAGCATTGCTGATGACAAAGTATACAGTTAAGCATGAACCTATGCATTCATATATATATATACCATGCACATAGGTGCATCACACATAATACCCTAATACTCTTTGGTCTCTTTGGCTGAAATGATAGTTGATTTAGTGTAACTGTTTGCTCATATAATAGCACTGAGATTTGACTTCAGTCCTTTCTATTCATACACTTTTAAGTAATCAAACAATAATATATATAAATAGTTTATCTACCAAAGTTTTCATTATGAAGTAGCTTCTTTGGGTCTGATGTGCTGATAACACTGTGTTGATTTTAGGATTTCTGGAAAAGATTCCTTTAAACTGGCTTTTTGTTTTCTACTTAAAATTAGCTTTTTGTGTATGGTAATACTTGTAGGTAAAATTTAAAAGAAAGAGACACTTATTCGGTGAAAAATAAGTCTGCATTCTACTCCTGTTCCAAAACTTCCAGTTCTCCCTGGAGGTAGTCACTATAATCATTTTCTTTGGTGTTCTTTCAGCTAGTTTTTCTTCTCTCTAGGTAACATTTTAAAGCTTTCCTTACATATATCGTGTGTGTTTCCTATTAGATTTGTGCCTAAGTGTTATGGGCTGCCCCCCAAAATTCATATTGAAGTCCTGGCCCCCAGTACCTCAGAATGTGACTGTATTTGGCCATGAGGCCTTTAAAGAGATAACTGAGTTAAAATGAGGTCATTAGGGTAGGCCCCAATCCAATGTGACTGTTATCCCTATTAAAAGAGATTACAACACAGGCACAGAGGGAAGACAGCCATCTACAAGCCAAGGAGATAGGTCTCAGAAACCATCCCTATTTGACAGCTTGTCTCAGAGTTCTAGCCTCCAGAATTGTGAGAAAATTAATTTTTAAAAAATTTATTTTAGAGAGCTCGTGGAAGCTGCGGGGGGGGGGGAGGGGAAGGGGCAGAGGGAGAGAATCTCCAGGAGACTCTTGAGCTGAGCATGGCATTTGATCTCGTGACCCTGAGATCGTGACCTGAGCAGAAACCAAGAGTCAGTTGCTCAACTGACTGAGCCAACCAGGCGCCCCTGTGAGAAAATTAATTTTTGTTTGAACTACCCAGCCAGAAGTAGCCCTGTTAAGCCTTTGTTATGTCAGCCCTAGCAAACCAATATAGATTTTGGTACTGGGAAGTAGGGTGCTGCTGTAACAAATGCCTAAAAATTTGGAACTGGGAAATGGATAGAGGCTGGAAGAGTTTTGAGATGCATGCTAGAGAAAGCCTGGATTGCCTTGAAGAGATTGTTGGTAGAAATATGGATGCCAAAGGCAATTTTGGTGAGGGTTCAGAAAGAAAAGAGAACTGTAGAAAAGCTGTTCTCTTAAGAGATACACAGATAGCTTCGTGGACGGAATGTTGATAGAAATAGTAAACATTAGGGGCGCCTGGGTGGCTCAATTGGTTGGGTGTCGGACACTGGTTTCAGCTCAGGTCATGATCTCATGGGTCGTGGGATCGAGCTCTGCTTGGTGCTTTGTGCTCAGTGCTCAGCAGGGAGCCTGCTTAAAGATTCTCTCCCTCTGCCCCTCCCTCCACGCATGGGCACTCTCTCTCTCAAATAATAAATAAATAAATCTTAAAACAATAATAATAAAGGGGCACCTGGGTGGCTTAGTCGGGCCTCTGATCCATCTTTGAATCTTTCTCCCCTTTCCTTGAAGGATAACAGATGTTTGAAACTGAATAGCTCTACTGGCCCATCTAGAAGAATCACACAAGTCCGACAATTTTTCTTCATTTCATCCCATCTGTGTCTCCTTCATTCCAAGCTGTCAACGTTTCTGCTGATACAAATTCTCAGAAATTTTACTGCCTTTCCTGCAATTCATGGGGGTGGAGGCCCAGACGACACAGGCCCAGGGAGCAGCTCTGTTTCCTCAGTTGGTTCCAGAGAGGATGAAGCCACTGCTTTTCAGTCTAGTGAGAAATAGTTGAATAAAGCTAAATACTGAGCATTGCTTTTAGTACAACTAAAGTGAATTTATGACAGATATTATATAATGTGACAAAGTCAGAAATAATTTTTGTGTTCTTATCTGATAGAAAAAGCAAAAGTCAAAGTCAATGCATTAATCTTTCAGTCTCTCAAGGCCATTTGGAGAAAGTTTTACTTTAAATGCAAATTAACCTTAATATTTAAGAAACTGCCACTAATGAACAATCACATAATTCTGGAGAAATCTTCTTTCCTTCTGAACAAATGCAATTCTTTTGTCAGTTTTTACAATATATTCATAAAAGTGTGTCAAGTAAATAGATATTTTCAAAATATATAAAAGCAGAATAATTTCATGAACCCCTCAATAAGCTTCATCAGTTTTCAGTAATTGTCAATGCATGGCCAGTCTTGTTTATTCCATCCTTCCCCCACCCACCCCAACTGGATTATTTTGAAATAAATCTTAGCTATCATGTGATTTCATTTGTAAATTCAGTATATATGTTTTATGAGTATAATTGTGAAAAGGCATCTTTTTATTCTGGCAGGACATTTTGGCAATTAGAACATGGCAACCATAGAAGAAATTGCACATCAAATTATTGAACAACAGATGGGAGAGGTATGTTTGATTTACAGTTCATTTGCAGATCCATCAAGCCTATTTAAAGCAAATGTATAGGGGCGCCCGGGTGGCTCAATCGGTTAAGTGGCTGCCTTTGGCTCAGGTCATGATCCCGTAGTCCTGGGATGGAGCCCCACATTGGGCTCCCTGCTTGATGGGCAACCTGCTTCTCCCTCCCCACTACTTGTGCTCTCACGCATGCTCTGTCTGTCTCTCTCAAATAAATAAAATCTTTTAAAAAATAAATGTATATGCTAGGTTCTGAAGGTACAGAAACAAAAGATACTCTCAACTTTCAGGTAGCTTTAAATCTAGTGGGAGATAGTCAGATCATCCCACAGTCACAATACGGTGGTAAGGGCTCTAACAGATGACTGTGTAGAGTGTTACGGGAGTGCAGAAGAAAGCCAGCTAACAGAGTTGTGGAGGGGTGATGAGACCCGGAACAGCGATGCCCAGTTCCTTAATAAGAGGTACCATAATCCAGAGGCTTTCAGAGTATCTTCTGGGGACTCTTCACAGAGGGTCAGCAAGGTCAAAACCATTTTATAATAATACTGAAGTGTTCATTGCCCTTTTTCCCCCAGGGGCTGCCTGCCATGTAATGATATGGTATGATGAAACATGTCAACATATAAAAGATGTACATCACTCAGTGGGCCAGTGTGATATTACGAAATCACTGACAAGTAAAGGATCCATTCAAATTACAGGATAGATCAGTGGATTTTGATACAGTTTCTGATTTCACATTACAACTAGCCTTTAAAAAGCTACCACTTGTCAAATTTGAATGTGCTATCAAAGAACTACCACACGTTACATGCACCTAAAGCTCTTCTCTAAGAAATAAGTTTGTCAGCCATTAGAATTTTGTTTACTTCACAGTAATAAAACTGATAGAAATAATCCACAGTGAAGCCTACAACAGCTTAAGCTTTACATGGTAAAATTTGTTATAAACCGATTCAAATTCACATCGTAGAGGTAAAATTGAAAATTGTTAGGGAAGATAGTGGTGGAAATAACCTATGTAGAATAAAATTGACAGCAGTGAAAAGTACACTCAGAAAAATAGGACATGCTGGCAATAATGGTCAACAAAGAAAACTCAAATTGGCAGTAGTTATAATCAGTACAGTTCTACTCTAGACAAAAACTGATTAGTAATTTAGAACTTTGTTGTAAATTTTGCATAGAAAAGAATCTTGAAAATAATTTCAGGGAAATGGAAAAAAGTAGGAAACAAACCAACTTTGCCATTTTAAGTTTGAACCAAGGGATTAAATTGGGTTAATGAATTTACTCTAAAATATTTGCTCAGCAACAACAAAAGCCCTCAATGCTGGGCTGGTTCTCTTTATTAATGAACTTGCCCTTCCCTAGGCTCCTCCAACTCAGTAGATAGCAATCCTGTCCTCCCAATTGCTCAGGGCAAAATCTGGTAGTCATCCTTGACTCTCCTCTCCTTATATTCCACATCTAGTCCATCAGCATATCTTGTCAAATTTCCCTTCATAAAATATCCCAAATCCAATAACTTTTTCCTCCAGCATGGCTGCTACCCTGTACCCTGCCAGCATCTCTGCCCATATATAAATCCCAGATATTGCCAGTGTGTGAGCAATAGTATCCTTTCTGGTCTCCCTTAATTCTTCTCTTGAACATCACAGGCTAATCTACACACTAAATCTAGAATTACCCTTTTTGAAAAAGATCTTGCCACTGTGCTCTGTGACCTTCCGGTGGATCTCCATTTCACACAGGAGAAAATCCAGATTTTGTAGTCCTTATGAAGCCCCGTACCACATGGCTCCTGTCGCTCAGATCCCGTCTTTTACCATAATCCCTTCTGCCACTCTGTCTCACTCACATAGCTCTCTTGCAGTGTCTCTTGCCTCAAATGTGTGAAACACTGCCCCACAGCCTTCTCCCTGTGTCCCAGGTAAAGGATGCACTCCTCTAGCTAGTCCTAAGCTTTGGTGTGCTACTTCACTCAGGTCTGTGCAAAAATGTCATCTCCTCATGACTTTTGTTCCATCAGTGACTCTCACCATCTCTGCCCTGCTTGATTTTTTCTTTGTAGCACTTGATACCATCTGACAATATTATTTGCTTGTTTGTTTTTTATCTGCCTTTCCTCACTAAAATAAAAGCTTTATGAGAACAAACGTTTTGTTTTGTTTATTGCTGTATTCCAGGACCCAGAACAAACAGTGCTTGGCAATCGGAATGCACCCAATAAACATTTGTCTAAATGGAGGGTGGGAGGGAAGGGGAAGGAAGGAATCAAAATAGGTCCAAATGTTTTTACTATCGTACCTTTATTTGCACATTTGTTTTTCTATAGGATGGGATTTTGTGGGAGTAGAATTGCTAGTTTAAAAGGTATGTATGTATGTATGTGTACTGTATTGAATATATATGTAATGGTATGCTTTCCTAGCTTTGTCTGAAGGTAGGAGAAAATTGTGCCCTTAGGAAAAAAAAAAAAGATAAGTTGAATTGATTACTAATTTGACATGATTGTGTTAGATTGTTACCGAGCAGCAAACTGGCCAGAAAATCCAGATCGTGACGGCACTTGATCATAATACACAAGGCAAGCAGTTCATTCTGACAAATCACGATGGCTCTACCCCAAGCAAAGTCATTCTGGCCAGGCAAGATTCCACTCCAGGGAAAGTTTTCCTCACTACTCCAGATGCAGCAGGTGTTAATCAGTTATTTTTTACAACTCCTGATCTGTCTGCACAACATCTCCAGGTAAATAACTTTAGAGTGTCTTTTCATCTTACACTTGAAAGAATTAAAAAGCACGTCATAAGTATAAGTCCTCATGTTAAGACTTTACGTCCTCCATGGTCCGGACGTAGGAAAAAAAATGTTGCATAAAATTATGTGCTGTGCAGATTATCTGTGGTGACTGCCCTCTCCTATCTGCCACTATACTTTTCCTCACGCACCCTCACATCCATATATTTTGGGGGGGGTTCTTAGTTGCATATAGTAAGATCCACTCTGGCTAGTTTGCCCAGGAAGGGGTTTCATAAAGGGTATAGAGAACTCACAGAATTGTTGGGAAGGCTGAAGATACAGCTCCAGGTCAGGTTTCCAAGAATAACCACTCAGACGTGCTGCAGAACTGGCTTCTAAGAGACCTGCTGCTTCTGCATGGTTAGGAAACTGCCAAATTAAGAGCCTCTTCTGTGGTAGCAGCACTTCCCAAGACCACGCTACCTGGGCAACAAGAAGCTGCCAAACCAAAAAGTCGGTATTATGGCTGCATCTTTGTCACTTTGCCTCCTTGGTTGTCATTTTTGTTTTCCTTGATGTAGCGGACAGTTTTATCCCCACCGTCTGCTTTAACACTGAAAGTCAGTCAGTGGTCTAGATTAACTTCACATCATTTTAATTTTTGCTAGTTATATATTTTTTGAAGAGTTGAGGCTTATACACACTGCATGCCTGTGATTATGTAGATAATTTTCACTGCTGGTTGCTGTGATTGAACACAAATCCAACAAACCCTTAAGTTTGCCTTCAGAGACTTTTTGGTGGAGTGCCCACTTAAAATTGAATTCTCTATTTTGTGATGAAAACCTGATCAAAGAAAGTTCCTTTTAGGATTGAAAAACTAATTCATAAAATACAAAATTTTGCCTGTATATCCTGATAGATTCTATTAACTCTTCTAATTGCATTATTTATATTATTTTTAGAAACAGCTAAAATAAAAAGTGGATGGGATTTATAAGAAGTTATTTTATCAACAAGACAGAAGTCACTAAAAAATGTGTAACATGAATACCTTAATTTCTTTTTATCAACAGATTTGATTTTTTAGAACAGTTTTATAGTTGGCAGAAATATTGAGCAGTTAGTACAAAGTTTCCATATAACCTCTCAACACAATTTCTCCTATTAACATTTTATATTAATATGATACCTTTATTATGATTAGTGAACTAATTTTGATATATTATTAACTAAAATCCATAGATGTTTTTAGCTTTCCCTGATTTTTACCTAATACTCTTTTTGGTTTCAGGATACCATATTACATTTAGTCATCATGTCTCCTTAGATTCCTGTTAGCAGTGACAGTTTCTCAGACTTTCCTTGTATTTGATGACCTTCACGATTTTGAGGTGTATGGTCAGGTATATTGTAGATGGCCCTGCTATGGGACTTTGACTACTGTTTTTCTCATGATTAGACTGGGATTGTTGGTTTTGGTGAGGAGGATCACAGAGGTTAAGTGCCATTTTCATCACATATCAAGTGTACTTCACTTGATAACTATCTTCATGTTTTATAACTGGTGACATTGATCTTCACCACCTGGCTAAAGTGTGTATCAGATTTCTCCACTGTAAAGTTATTCTTTTTAAAAAAAATTTCTGTTTCAAGAAAAAAAGATAATATTGGTACTTTGCCTACTTTATGGATCACCTCTCAGGGCAAAGAAATAGAAATAGGTACGGGATAAAATTCCCCTGGGCCAAGAAGATTGAATTTCTGATCTAGTGACCTAAAGGATGTGGGCAAGTCCCTTAATCTCAATATTTCTTCTACCCTTAGGAATAATAGATAAAAGATTAGCACCATTCACAATAGATGTGCTGTTAAGGAAGAGTAATGCCTTTCATAGATGCTTTCAAAGGACAGCTCTTTTTTTTTAAAGACTGTTAAAGACTTTTTTAAAAAAACTGTTAAAGACTAATTTTTATGATGATATAAGAAGAAATGATGCTATTATAACATAGCAAGGGACAGCTGTTTTAAGGACTGTTTGAAGTTTTTAAAATCAGAATTACTCCTGAAGGCATTCACCACCCCTAAGAGAAGAAAAAGAGTCAAAGTGGAGGTTACTTTGTGGTTTGTTTTAAAGCCGGGGGAAGGTGATATGGTGAATGTCCTATCACATTTTTGGGATTGAATTAATTTGTTCATGTTTCAAAAGATTGAAAAAAAAATGATTAAAAGGTTAGAAGATAAACCTAAAAGAAGAAACTGGTATTTCTTTTACAGCATTATATTGGCTATAACTAGTGATTAGCTCTTTATATAATTTATAAAGAGGGTTTGTAATTTGCCCAAGGCCTCTCCACCCAGTCCCACTAACCTGCTACAGTTTATCAGACTCTACAGCCCACGTTGTCAACGATTACACTAAGATCCAAATCTTAGACGACTCATCGATGAAAAGTTTATCAATCATTTCCATCATTATAAATAACAAAAAATTTTTAACTACTTAAAATTAAATTATCTTTTTATGCTGTTATAGCTTATTTTTCCATGTGGAAAAATTGAGCTGTTCAAAGACACGTCATGATAGGGCTGATAATTGCTGCAGTAATTTGATGTGTTGAATGAATAACGAATAATAAGTGCTTAATAGGTAAGATACATTAAATACTCATGTATTTGAGTGTTTAACAGTATTTAATGAGATTGTTATGGAACAAATTTAAAAGGTATTCCGATCTTTGCTTCTAATAACATTGAAATTTTTACTTAAATATGAAGAAAATTAACAGTAGTTTAATATATGCATAATAGAGTTCAAAGTTTCAGAATAACTTATGAGAAAGAAAGCAATAATTAAGACTTTTCTTTTACATTTTAACTAAGAGCATTATTAACAAATTATTGTTTTGTTTTTTGTTTTGGGGGGGTTTTCTTTAGCTCTTAACAGATAATTCTTCCCCAGACCAAGGACCAAATAAGGTTTTTGATCTTTGCGTAGTATGTGGAGACAAAGCATCAGGTAACATTTTAAAAATAACCTTCTGTATGTGTTGTGTTGTTAAAATAACTACCACACTACCATGTTTCTTCTTCTGAAAGTAAAAAGAGCATGTTGTTTTTACAGTTCTCATTTGAAGCCTATAAAATTTGACTGATTTCCCCCCAAAGCTTTTTATTCACCTAAAGATTTTTTTTTACTTGAATGCAATTTAATTTGATCTTGCAATGACATAAAATGTATATTTTGAAGAATTGTGAAAAACAGTTTTTAAAAACAAAAAAAGACTTATTTATTTGGGTGGGTGGGGGAGCAGAGAGAGAGGGAGAGAAACTCAAGCAGACTCCACACTGAGCATGGAGCCCCACACGAGGCTCAGTGTCCTGACCCTGAGATTACGATCTGAGCCAAAACCAAGAGTCAGGGGCTTAACCAACTGTGCCACCCAGGTCCCCCAAAGAGTTCTGCTTTTTAAATGTAAACTGAATATGTGGAAATTTTTCTTGAAAGTAAAATCAGTTTTGTCAAAGGAATTGCTTAAAAATGAGTTGTGGTCCTTAATAATACATAACATTAAGTTGTTAACTTACCTGCTGAGCCCTGTTGCTAGTCCAGGAATATAGAGTAACTTAAATTATTGAGATGGAAAAGCTCTGGTTACTCTTTATTTAATGCTGTGCATAACTGAGCAGCATTTCTCCAAGTACTATTACTAGTACTCAGGGTTATGTCATTTTAGTTATGTTCATTGTTATTTTATGCCAGGAAAGCACCCATGTTCACTCATATATAATCTTTAATCTTTTCCATAGCTTTATTGCAAAAATCTCCACTACAGCTTTTCCCAGAGTATGTTGAATTTAATAGATGTTGTATCAAAGAAATGGCCTGTGAAGTGGTAGGTTAATCAAAGTGTGACAGATTTCTCCAGAAATTTAAAAAGTGGAACCCACAATGAGAAGAGATTACTATAGGGGTACCTGGGAGGCTCAGTTGATTAAATGTCTGACCCTTGATTTCGGCTCAGATCATGATCTCACGTCGTTAGATCAAGCCCCGTGGAGGCTCTGTACAGGGCGTGTAGGCTGCTTAAGATTCTTTCTCTCCCCCTCCCTCTATCCTTTCCCACCCCACCCCGCAAAAAAGAGAATACTATAGCTCAAATACTAATTGATGTATCTTTTTTCCGAGCAGAGTTTTCAGAATAATATCCTTATATAACATATAAGAGAATTATAATTTGTAAGTGATCTCAGAAGTGAAAATAGTTTTTACTTATGGTGTTATGGGTGGTTTTGTTTTTTCTCTTTCCGAAATTTTCTGTATCATTGTTAAAGTTACTTTACAGAATTAAAAATTCATATTATTTAATATATTTATCAAAGAATATGGTTGTTTCATTCTCTGTTTAGTAACTCCTAAAAAATTTTTCCATGTCACAAACTCAAAAATCTCCATTTCATCACATATATTATTGTTACTTAAAGAGAAGAAATGGGCTTATTTCTATTTCTGTTCCAAAATATTTGACTTTTGTGTTTCCTTAAACATCTTGTCTCTAGGGCGTCATTATGGAGCAGTAACCTGTGAAGGCTGCAAAGGATTTTTTAAGAGAAGCATCCGAAAAAATTTAGTTTATTCATGTCGAGGATCAAAGGACTGTATTATCAATAAACACCATCGAAACCGCTGTCAATACTGCAGGTTACAGAGATGTATTGCGTTTGGAATGAGACAAGACTGTATGTATTAGCTTTAAAGGAGAAAATAATTTTAAGAATTCAGGCAACCTCTAAAAGTATGTCAAAATTAACACAATATGTCAATATATATGCTTTTTAATTTACAGATTTCCAACTAACAGTTTAGAAATGTGTACATATGCATGTATTTTTTATTCAACAAGATACTCATCGAATGCCTATATGCTATGCATGTATGTATGTTTGAACATGGTTTTTTAAAAAAAGCACAACTAATTAGATGCCAGTTTAGTTTCCGATTAAACTACTAAGGTGATTTGATTGAGCTCTCACCATACCTAACTCTGTGTATAGCATATGAATTATTTATTTCTTTATTTATTTTTTTATATTTTTTATATATATTATATATTATATATTTTATTTTATTTATTTCTATAGTAAAACGCCACGCACTAGGTACTACTCTTACATTTGAGTAAACAGATTTAGTAACTTGCCGAAGGTCACATAACTAATAAGTGGCAGAACTTGGATCTGAATCTTGGCAGGTTTTTTTTTCCTCAGAAAATGTACATTTAACAACTAAACCATACTATCTCCTAAGTATCATGAAATAAAATTCCTATAAAATAAGTGAAATATACTACCTATATTTTATAAAGGAAGATTAAACAGTTGAATTACTTCTCAAAAATCTCCTTGCCCTTAACTAAAAAAAGATTTAACTTTTTGTGGCTCTCTATTAGTATTGTTTTCAATTGATCAAATATTATTTTTTTCAACTCTCACACAGATAGGTAGGAGACTCCTATCTTCAGTTTTTCCTTCTTGACAGTATCTTTTCCTTCTTGACAGTGAGATTTTAAAAAATAAGAATTTCTCTACATTTCTACCACAGCTGGGTCAGGGAGAGAAAAGAGAGCAAGAGATGCAAATTACTATTCTGAAGCAACTTTGTTGAAGTTGGAAATAATTTCTAAAGATTAAGGATTACCTTTAGAGTTCACTTATGGTAACTGTCTCCCATGAGCAATGAGCATTGCTGACCGAATGGTTACATTTATTATTGCCTATAAATTCCTCATTGTGATGTAATAGTTTAATGCATTTTTGTAGCTGTTCAGTGTGAAAGAAAACCTGTTGAAGTATCACGAGAAAAATCTTCCAACTGTGCCGCTTCAACAGAAAAAATCTACATCCGAAAAGACCTTCGAAGTCCATTAGCTGCAACTCCAACTTTTGTAACAGATAGTGAAACGGCAAGGTATAGTAAAAACAAGCAAAACATACATTAAGTAGAGTGGGTCATTTGTTTTTGTTCCCAGTGAAACTAAGGCTAAAATTTATACTTGTTTGTTACAGGTCAGCAGGACTGTTAGATTCAGGAATGTTTGTGAATATTCACCAGTCTGGAATAAAAACTGAGTCAGCTGTGCTGATGACACCAGATAAGGTGTGTTTAGTGCAATTAATTTAAAGCTTAAATTTTTTTAAGCTTTTAATATCTTTTGCCTTTTCTTAATCTCTGCGATTACTTTGGTTAATTGATCTGGTCTTAAATATTCCTATTACAAACTGCTTTTTTTTTTAATATAAATGATCAACTATTTGATAGTGTCAAATGACAACTAAAACAATTTAGTAACAAATTTGATGCCTTTATTCAAGGGAAAACAATCCATAGATCAGGAGAGCACTCTTGCTGAGGGATTTCGGGCAAGAGTGAGTTTTAGAGAACATTAGAAGCAGCAATATGGAAATGGCCTTACTGGCTAGGAGCTTGAAGATTTCCTTTAAGGCTAGTGGGTCCTGTTTCTTAGGGTAAGGTGAGCTAGTTAAAGCAGAGTTGCAGATTGTGATTGGTGTATGTTAGGTTTCCTTAACAGGTGTTTCCTGTAAGTGCTTGCTGACTTGGGTTTACATTTGTGACCAGGATAGCTTCCATTTTGTGTGTCCTCATATATGAATAACTATCAGTAGAAGTGTTCATTATTCCACTAGGACAATTACAGCTTCAAAATGGAAGTGACAGACAAAAGTCTTCTAGGTTTCTTTCATCTCAAAAGTCCTTAGAAATGGAAATTTATATTAAGTGCAAAATTCCCTTTTTTTTTTTAAGATTTATTTATTTATTTGAGAGAGAGCATGAGCAGGAGGGAGAGGGAGAGAGAATCTCAAGCAGACTCTGTGCTGAGCACGGGGGCTTGATCTCATGATCCTGAGATCATAACCTGAGCTGAAACCAAGAGTCCGACGCTTAACCAACTGCACCACGCAGGTGCCCCAGGTGCAAAATTCTTAATATTTCTTTTATGCTTCCCTACAGATTTTACAGTAACAAAGTATCTAAAATATTTCAGGTGAAGAGAAATGCCTAGCATACCTTTTACTCAAAACATTGACTTGAGTCAAGAGTAGGAATAGGATTGCAAGAGCTTTCATTACGTGTCTGAGTTATCTGGTTTCTTTTAAAGGTTGGAGTCCTCTTTGAGCAAGGAGTCTCAAGGAAAACAGGTTTATTTCTGCAGTGTTCAGAAACCCCTTATGAGAACAAAAAGAAAAATTTCTCCTGAAGACTCTTGTCTAGAAACAGATTTTAGGGAGCCTATGATTAGTATTTCTCTCAGCCTGTAATGTGATCTGGTTTTATATAAACTGTAAGATTATTCATCCAATTTATGGCCAGATTTATTATACATTTGTTTGATATTCTAAAGGCACTCTTTTTTTATGTTAGTCACCATACATTACAGCGTTAGTTTTTGATGTAGTGTTCCATGATTCATTCTTTGTGTATAGCACCCAGTGCTCCATGCAGAACGTGCCCTCCTTAATACCCATCACCAGGCTAACCCATCCCCCACCCCCCTCCCCTCTAAAACCCTCAGTTTGTTTCTCAGAGTCCATAGTCTGTCATGGTTCGTCTCCCCCTCCAATCCCCCCCCTTCATTTTTCCCTTCCTACTATCTTTTTTTTTTTTTAACATATATTATTTGTTTCAGAGGTACAGGTCTGTGATTCAGCAGTCTTCCACAATTCACAGCGCTCACCATAGCACATACCCTCTCCAATGTCTATCACCCGGCCACCCCATCCCTCCCACCCCCCACCACTTCAGCAACCCTCAGTTTGTTTCCTGAGATTAAGAATTCCTCATATCAGTGAGGTCATATGATAGTTATCTTTCTCTGATTTACTTATTTCGCTTAGCATAATACCCTCCAGTTCCATCCACATCATTGCAAATGGCAAGATTTCAGGTTTTTTGATGGCTGCGTAATATTCCTGTGTGTGTGTGTGTGTATACACATCTTCTTTATCCATTCATCTGTCGATGGACATCTTGGCTCTTTCCATAGTTTGGCTATCGTGGACATTGCTGCCATAAACATTGGCATGCACATACCCCTTCGGATCACTACATTTGTATCTTTGGGGTAAATACCCAGTATTCTTAAGGCACTCTTAATACTTGAGCTCTGGAATCAAATTTCATCTGCCATTTATTAGCTGCATAACCTTGGGCAAGTTATTTGACCTCTCAGTGCTTCAGTTTCCTTCATCGTCTGTAAAATAGGGCAAATAAGAGGGTCAACCATACAGTTTGGGCTTTAGCATTTTGTTAAGTGGGGAAATTTGACCTTTTACCATATATTTTGGAATTAAAAGATTTTGCTTCGCTTTATATACGTGCTTCAAGGTTAGGACGGTAGTTACGATTACACTGACGTATTAACTCCTTTAGGAAAGGAAGACAACTAAGTTTTGTTGAGAAATTATTTGCCCAGACACTACTTTTGTATATATCTTTGTATTAAATTATAACAACCTTGCGTGTAAGTTTCTGACAGATAGTCACAAGATGAGGTCTTTTCACATTGCTAAGAGTTTTCATTGGCAAAAGCTTAATCTAGCTAGATAGGCATGTTAGAAAATGGAAGAAAATAGATATGTTTAAGTTTTAGTTGAAATTAAAACACTTAAAAATGTTAACTCCTTTTACTCATGTATACGAAGCCTGGAACAGTGGTTAGAGCACAGGCTTTCCCATCAGACCTGACTTCCCAGTCTTTCCTCCACTATTTGCTGCTGCAGTGACAATGGATTCTTGTCAGTAATAAAGGGATGATGCTTCCTATTTCACAGGGTTGTTATGAGGACTAAATAAAATACATAGTAGGAACCAAGTGAGAACTCCACACAACTGGTAGGTTTCTCAGTAAATGATTCTGGGACCATTCATTAATTTAGGAAGCACAAAAATTGTTTCATTGTGTTCACTAAAACCAATTTCACACAAACTGAAGAATTTGATAAAATGTGAAACATCAAGGAAACATGTATTTTCTTAGGATTAAAAACACTAAAAACTGTAAAGGAAGAATTAAATTTCATTAAAGGATTCTGTCAGTTGGCCATAGAAGGCAATTGAAGGGACTCTCATTAGGTTAGAATGGAATAATTTGAGTATTTAAAAAAGAATAATTCATTTAAACACATCAAATATATAAAAATCTATGAATTTAAAGTGATACTGAAAACTCACCTGTTACCAGTAAAGGTTGCTAAGGGCATTGACTCATTGCTCTGAAAATTGATAAAGATCAAGCATCTATCTGCCTTTCCTACAGAAATTATATTTCTGGGTAGTCAAAGAGTTAAGGAGAGAGAATACTTTTTCACAAAATAATTATAGCTAATTAGTGAATAAAGAATATATACATGATTAACAAAAATAAAAACTAAAAACAAATGGGAAAATATGCAGTGTATAGCAAAAGCCCATTGTCTTGGGCTCATGGGTGGCTCAGTCCGTAAGCATTTGCCTTCGGCTCAAGTCATGATCCCAGGATGCTGGGATCAAGTCCTGTGTCAGGCTCCCTGCTTTGCGGGGAGTCTGCTTCTCCCTCTGACCCTCCCTCCACTCGTTCTCTCAATCTCTCTCTCTCTCTCTCTCAAATAAATCTTAAAAACAAAAACCATTATCTTAAATATGAGATTTTTCACCTACACAGCACCTGGTATCTAACATATTTAAAACAGTGGCTGGTAAAAGTTGGCATTCTAAGAATTCTGTTCAGTAATACATTTACCTTTTTTTCTTTTTTCAGTAATATTAATTTTAATACATTCTGTACAACTTTATAGTTCATATAGTAAGATTTGGAAATTGTCAGAATTTTAATTCTAAAAAGAACTTAAAAGATTATCTAAGATCGTCTTATAGAGGAAGGGATTGTTGATGTGAATAGATTAGTCATTAAGTACAGTTTCTGGTTTAATGTAATTTTTGTATAAACATTTCCTAGGAAATGTACCTCATGTTTTTAAACTTACGTTTTCCTCAGAAACTTTCTAAAAGCTCAGAGCTCTTTGATTTTACTTTCTGGGTTTCATTTATCTTAGAAGTACTTTAATTCTGGCATTTCATAATCTAGAATTGGATATTTCAGACAAAAAGTTCTCTGATACCAATTTGCAGATTTTAATACTTTTTTTTTTTTTTTTTTTTAAGGCTGAATCATGTCAGGGAGATTTAAGTACATTGGCCAGTGTGGTTACATCATTAGCAAATCTTGGGAAAACTAAAGATCTTTCTCAGAATAGTAATGAAATGTCTGTGATTGAAAGCTTAAGTAATGGTGATACCTCTTTGTGTGAATTTCATCAAGAAATGCAGACGAATGGTGATGTTTCAAGGTAAGGTCTGTTTTGATCTTATTAGTATGTCTTACAATATTCTTATGTTGAATACTATTTACAGAAGTTTCAGAAAACAAGTATTTCTATTAGACTTAGAAAATTTAAAGCATAGTTTTAACTGAAAAAGCACATTCAAGAATTGTAAGATGTTATTGAGCAGGTTACATTCTAAATAATGAGCAATAAATGAATATTATAAGCTTAGAAATGTAGTCATAAAATTTAGGAATTTTTTTTCTTGCTAAAGGTAATATTTTATCTTCTGTGTATTTATTTTTTTTTTAGATTTCCCCATACTTTTTTTTTATTATGTTATGTTAATCACCATACATTACATCATAGTTTTTGATGTAGTGTTCCATGATTCATTGTTTGCGTATAACACCCAGTGCTCCATGCAGAACGTGCCCTCTTTAATACCCATCACCAGGCTAACCCATCCCCCCACCCCCCTCCCCTCTAGAACCCTCAGTTTGTTTTTCAGAGTCCATCGTCTCTCATGGTTTGTCTCGCTCTCCGATTTCCCCTCCTTCATTCTTCCCCTATTGCTAGCTGCTGCTGCTGCTTTTTTTTTTTTTTTAACATATATTGTATTGTTTGTTTCAGAGGTCTGTGATTCATCAGTGTTGCACAATTCACAGCACTCACCATAGCACATACCCTCCCCAATGTCTATCACCCAGCCACCCCATATCTTCTGTGTATTTAGAGTTAAACATTTGTCTTACCCCAGGCAGCCATGTTCATTTTCCCCACCAATTTTTAATGATGAAAATAGATTTAAAACACTTAATTGAATCAACTACAATTTTAAGTTACACTCTGGGAAACTTATATAAGAATTCTATTTTTCATTCTCTTGATATTAATACATGGGATGTAGAAACTGGATCTCTTCAGGCTTTTTTCACACTGTTCATCATCTAAATGTTGAGGAAACTGCATTTAAGAGTCTCAATAAGTACTTTGTTGAACATGAGATTTTAAGTAACTCTAAAAGGCTTCTCACTGAAAAATATGGGGAGCTATTTTAAATAATTATTTGCTAACATTAGTTCATTATTTGCCATCCTAATCTCAAATTCTTACAGATGTAGCTGTGTTAACACAAGTTTTAAAATATTTTCTGAATTTTTAAATAAAATCTGTGTTGTGTGGAATGCACTAAAGTTGACATAAGTTCTTGCCCTTATTCTTTTTAAATAACTTCTGTATGTAAAGTAAATGGGCTGTTTTCTTGTAGTATCAAATGTATAACTTGTAAAAGCATATTTTTAGACCAAAGTATAAGGGTTTTTCCTCCTGGTAATTACATAAATTTTTTTTAAAGACTTTAATTCTCTGATAATATATTAATATAATAACAGCTTTTCATACTATACATATTCAAATTTAATTTGTTGCTTTTGGAAACAGCAAATATGCAGTGTATAGCAAAATAGAGTAATCAGTGATACATCAAAGTTCTGTATTCTCAATAATCTTTTTAGGCCTAAATATTAATTCCAGAATTTTATGTAGAATTTTTATTTTATTGTGGAGATTGACCAAGCTCACAGCATCTGATGTCTCCTAATAGGGCATTTGACACTCTTGCAAAAGCACTGAATCCTGGAGAGAGCACGGCCTGTCAGAGCTCAGTAGAGGGCATGGAAGGAAGCGTACACCTAATTGCTGGAGACTCGAGCATAAATTACATCGAAAAAGAGGGGCCACTTCTCAGCGATTCACATGTAGCTTTCAGGGTATTTCCATATTTTTTAATATAGTTTTTATGTTGTGTTACCCATTTTGATTTTAACCTTCCCTTCAGAAATCAAAGTATATTTGTTGTGCTTTTGAAGTCAGAAATATTCCTGACAGAATTCAAAATAGCAACTGAAACATACACATCTGGCTATTTAAAGTAATGGCACAATAAAGCATCCTATTTATAAATCATGGTTATAATATCGATTAGTGGTTTTAAGTCTATAAAAGCTAGCTTTTAGAACATTTTAGACATAAGTTTTGGATGTTGTTGTTAACTCTAAGTATTGACATTATGTTTGTATACACCGGTTTTGTTCAGTGCTTTGGTATAAACCAGTATGTGAGACCCAGTTACTCCTTACCATAGTAACTATAAAGAACTCCATTTATTATGTAGTCCCCTAATTAGCTAGCTCTCAGTGTTAAGAATGTAAAAATTATTTAATACATTTTAACTTTTGGCTTTTAACTTTTCACACTTTAACCATTTTGGAGGAGGTACATTTGTAGTTTCTTTTTTGCTCCCCTAAATACATTAATTTATGATGGAAACAATACATGCGGAATATCAGAAAATAACTTTGTCAATCAGATAATATTCAGACTACGGCTATAGATACACGACCATTGAGGCCCTACATTAAGACTCTGATGTTTTGACCCGTCCATTTTAACCACTCTGTGTCTTTTCTGTGTCAGCCATGAGTACTATCAGCAAATCATATGCAAAGTGATTAAAAGTATATAGGAGATTTCAATTAGCAGTACACAGCAGTCTTAGAATACCTCATGGAAATTGTGTATAACTTTATTGTAGATTATAAATTTCCATGGGTTTCTAATGAAAATATAAACAGTTATCAAATAGTGGTTTGTGTGACTGGTACAAATAATACAAATCTAACATTGGCTAAAACTGCATACAATAAAATTTATATTTGTAAGATTTGACTTGGTAGAAGTAGCCACAGAGAAAACTCAGTGACTTAGTAAATTGTTGTAATTTGATATAGACCATAAAATGTAACAGTGAAACCAATCTTCATATAAAATTTTACCAAAGATAAACCTATATGAAAAAATTAGAAATGTTTTATGTGTACTGTACCTGAAAATTTTTTATGGGGGCTGTAAGAAAAGATAATGGGAATAATCAGTGTCATCCTTAAAATTTATGGTAGGAGCTATGGACAAGGGTGGAGCAAGGCAAAACTGATTTTTCCCAATTGCACTTTTTATTCTAAATAAAAGACATGTTTTTGTTGTCTTACTTTTATTTTCTACCTTTAGATTTAAAGAGGAAGGAAAGAAAAAGACGTAGGAAGAGGACCCATTGCAAGAAAAAGTATAGAGTACTTCTATAGAAAGTAGAAATAGTCCTTTTTTAATTGTTGATGTTGGTCCTCAAAATGTTTGATTCTTTTAAATATTTGTTATGGACAGATGAGTTAGGCAAATTAGAACTTTTTTCCTTTCCCTGGAATTGGTTTTTTTCCATACAGTCTTTGACCTGCTGTTCTCTGGGTGTCCTCAGAATCAGCACTGTGAAGTTTCTTGGTCTCCTGACAAAGACAGCTTCTTTCTCTGATGCTTGTTTACATTTCCAGCCTTTGTGAAATCAAGAGTTTTACTTTTCCCTCACTTCCCAGCTCAGTACTTTGATAGTTGGCTTTCTCATTGAGGTTTTATAGTCATGAGTTTCAAAACCTGACATCTGTAATCAAAAACTCAGTTCTTTCTTAACTGCGCTAAATAGCATTTTGTTCCTATCTTGCATTTTTGTGTACAGTGTAGTTTGCAGCATGCTTTCATGTGTACATTCTTAGGTTTGAGCCTTAATCACGGTTGTGAAGGTTTGGATTTTTACTGTCATTTTGTGAATGAAAAAAGATTTGGAGGTTTTCAGTGTCTTGTTCAAAGCAATCCAAACAGAAAGGAGAAATAGTCTAATAATGCATCTTGGAATTTGGTTCTGGAGAATCTAGGACAATAGAAATATTAAATATTTTTATTAAATTTCAGAGTTTTTGGTGTGATTTCATATACTTTATTCTTGATTCTTGCAATTTGATTACATAGATCATCAAGGTAGATAGAATTCCCATTTAGAAATAAGTATATGAGACAGAGGTAGGTGATTTCCAAAACTGTTCTCTCATATGTATCATCTCAGTATTAAAACCATAGTCCTGGTCACCATATTTGATGTTTGGGAGTCATCATCATTCTCCCCATACTTCACTCCCCTCCATTCCCTAATTGAATCCGAACCATTCTTTTGTTTGAATTTCTCCCTTCCTATTCATTTTTATCACCGTATTTCAAGACCTTTTAAAATTTCTTACCTAAACTGTTAGAGTAATATCTTTGCTTCCAGTCTCTTCATCTTGTCCTGTGCTCTGGTAATAGAGTGATGTTTGTTAAAAATCAGCCCAGTTATGGGACACCTGGGTGGCTCAATCAGTTACACGTCTGCCTTCAGCTCAGGTCATGATCCCAGGGTCATGGGATCGAGGCCCTAGTCAGGCTCACTGCTCAGCAGGAATCCTGCTTCACCCTGTCTCTCTGCCCCTCCTCCCCTCTTCACATGTGTGTGCGCTCTCTCTCTCTCAAATAAATAAATCTTTAAAAAATCAGTCCAGTTATGTGACTCTGCTACCTAAAAGCTTTCATTAGCTTCCTGTTGCCCGTGTGAGATAAAGTTTATGACCTTTTAGGACCTTCCACGTTTTTATTCAGTTGCCCATCATTTATCAGAAATGCCATCTCTTTCTTAGCCCTTACTTTTTTTTTCTTCTTTTTAAAGATTTTATTTATTTATTTGACAGAGACAGCAAGAGAGGGAACACAACCAGGGGGAGTGGGAGAGGGAGAAGCAGGCTTCTCGCTGAGTAGGGAGCCCAGTGTGGGGCTCGATCCCAGGACCCTGGAATCGTGACCTGAGCCGAAGGCAGATGCTTAACGACTGAGCCACCCAGGCGCCTCCTCTTAGCCCTTTCTGTAGCTCATTCTGTTTCCCTTTATTCTTCTATTGAAGCCTCAGCACTTAGTATATTAGAGTGAAATCTCAGTTGGGGCACCTAGCTGGCTCAGTTGGTAGAGTATGTGACTCTTGATTTTTGGGTTGTGAATTTGAGCCCCACATTGGGGGTGGAATTTACTTTTAAAAAAAGAAAGAAAGAACGAGATCTCAAGATGTAAGTACTGAATTATAATGTGTAATCCAGGGTCACACAACTAATGACATGTTGGGAATAGAATTCAGATCTCCTAACTCAAGTCAAATGATTTTTTTAAAGTTCTATCATTTAGCTTATTGTCAGAATTACAGAAAGTGCTATAAAGGTAATGGTAGACAAGTAACTTCTAAAATGGGTAGCCAAGTTTAATTCATGTCAACACTCTTTTAAAAATCATCTCAGTATATTGGGGCACCTGGTTGGCTTAGTCGGTTAACTATCCAACTCTTGCTCTCAGCTCAGGTCTTGATCTCGTGGTCGTGAGTTCTTCCAACCCTGTGTTGGGTTCCATGCTGGCCATGAAGCCTACTTAGAAAAAAAAAAAAATCACTGAATGTGTATCATTTTTTAAAATGTGTGTATTTCAGTTTATAAACCTAAAAGTCCACAGGCAGTTTTGGGACGCTCTTTAACATCTTCAGTAGAAACTCACCTTCTCTATATAGAGGAAGAAATCTTTGTCTTTGCAATCTAAAAGACTTGTTGAATCAATTCTTGTTTCTTAAGCCAATACTGGCTGATTCATGATGCTAGAGGTGTATCTTGCTTTAAGAAAATTAAGTATTAAAACAGATAAATTATGAGATATTTCTTCTCTTTATAATACATGCATGCATACAATGCATGGCAGTCTTTTAAATAATGAATTCCTCTAGTATGTATTGCAAATGATTTCAATTTTATAATTAAAGCACAGAAAGTTTTCAACATTACCACCACTCTTGTGTCAGTCAGGATACATCTGTATCTTTTAGCCCTTATGTCTAATTTTTAATACTGTAACTATTTTACTTTCTTAAAAGTGACTAAACTATTTGTTTAAACAACAGTTGTTGTTTTACATCTTAATTACTCCAACGCCCTGAAACTAGTAATCTCTGGTAATTCCCCTGATCTTTCAGGCTTTTCTCCCCCTGTACTCTCCTTGGGCAATTCTGAAAAGGTATGATAGTTCCCAGTTTGTTTTTATATACTTACATATGGAAACAGTTACATCCTGATAATTACATTTAAGATGTTTAATATCTGCTTGCCTACAGTTCTCTTAAGAATTCTCTTTAAGTAGTGGCATTTTAATTTGCTGCTCCAGTAAACATTTCTCAAGCATTTAAAAAATATTCTCAGGGTGCCTGGCTGGCCCAGTTGGTGGAGTGTGTGACTCTTAATCTCAGGGTTGTGAGTTTGAGCCCCATGGTGGATGTAAAGATTACTTAAAAAATAAAATCTTTAAAAAAATTTTTTTCTTTTTTTTTTTTAAGATTTTATTTATTACTTATTTGAGAGAGAAAGCACATGAGAGGGGGGAGGGTCAGAGGGAGAAACAGACTCCCTGCTGAACAGGGAGCCTGATGCGGGACTCGTTCCAGGGACTCCAGGATCATGACCTGAGCCGAAGGCAGTCGTTTAACCAACTGAGCCACCCAGGCGCCCAAATAAATTTTTTTTTAAATAAAAAATATTCTTCTCAGAGCACCTGGGTGGCTCAGCTGGTTGAACATCTGCCTTCGGCTCAGGTCATGATCCCAGAGTCCTGAGTCCTGGGATCAGACCCTGCATGGGCTCCCTGCTTAGTGGGGAGTCTGCTTCTCCTTCTGCCCCTCAACCCACCCATGCTCACTCTCTCTCTCCCTCTCAAATAAATAAATAAAATATTTAAAAATATATATATATATATTCTTATACATGAAATTTCCACTGTTAATTTCTCTATTGTTTTATTAGTTGGTACCATTTATAAATAGATAAACCATTTGTGGCTAATAATGAACAAAGGCAGTTAATATTTTTTGCCTAACATGTCTGGAGAATTTTTGTATCATTTTGATGAAAACCTTTTGATCTGTTAGGCATCATAGACACTTTTGAGAATCTGATTAAAGCTATCCTTTCCTCAGAAAAATACATATGGGTACATCCACCTACTCTACCCCTGAGGTAGCCACTGTTAACTGTGTGATAGATCTCCATCTGTCCTTTTTATATACACACACACACACACACACACACACACACACACACACTCTCTCTCTCTCTCTCTCTCTCTCTCTCTCTCTCTCTCTCTGTCCCTTTCTCTTTAACATAAATTAGGTCATCTACATACTGTTTCGTA